ATTTACTTGAAATATTAAATCTTTCTATCCTCTCTTTGGATTTAGGTAGACCATTTAATTCCTTTATCATATGAAGAAGAATAAGTTTGGGGTTGCTCTTGGAAGTGAGCAAAGTTTAAGTTTGGGATTGGGGTACTAGAGACAAATGGTAAACAATTCATAAATTTTGAAAAAATAAGAAGTTAAAAATAACTTCTCCAAAAAAAAAAGAATGATGAAGATCATAAAATGTTAATCTTTAGTACCGATTAATTAAGGAAGAGTGGATATGAAAAGGAATATGATAACATAAGAAAAACTAGGTACCTAACTCCAAATGTTTAAGCTTACTCTCCCAAATTGTTCCACCTTGACATAAGCCTCGTTACAACCTTAAATGCCCTCCAAAAGTTTGTGTTTAGATGACTTTGATTGCTTTTGTTAAAAAATTTGCAAACTTATGGTAAAATGCTTTTGTATGTTGATTGTGTGATTAATCTGTAAACACGAGTAAAATATTAGTAAGATGAGAGACATGTTGAGTATTTGTTGTGTTGGAAGAACTTTTCCGATTTATCTTGATTGAAGTGGGGAACGAAAGTGATGACCAGGTAAAATAAAATAAAGAAACAAAGGATATGTTCATTAGTAAGGGTAAGCATGTTATTTTCTGTTGAAACTTTCTGTTGCAGACAACTTACTTGAGGACAAACAACAAAGTAAGTTTGGGGTTGTGATGACAGTTTGTCATTACAAGAATTTTATGAGTATTTGTGATGAATTCAATGGAATTTCAATTTAAAGATGAGCTAAATATGAATAAAGTGAATAAGTTGAAGCAACAAAGCAAAGTCAAGAAATCGAGAAGAAATTATGAAGAAACATGTATTTTTCAGCATAATCCACATCCTGACGCCTGTCTAGTAATTTGATCATATTTGGAGTTTCGTAACTTGTTTTGAGACGGTTTTTTTTCAAAAGAAATCTAAAAAAGAGATATATATTCTATAATAATCACGTGCACAATAGAAAGTAGCATATAACGCACTCGATGTATCCTATAACACGCACGATGGTACCTTTTTGGGCATTTTTGACGTGTTTCTGGCCCATTCTAACTGTTCTAGAAAGGGTTTTTTGGTATCTTTTCAAGGCTTATGCAAATTGTGACTAAAAGTGACGGTAAAGAGCACCAAGAGGGCGATTTTATGAGCATTGGAAGCCATTGGAGACCCGTTCTTCAAGGATTTTCAGATGCAATCTTCATCACACTGATTGATATTTGATTGTATCGTTATGAGTAGCTAAAAATCTTTAAGTTAGGTTTTGTTTGATGAACTTATTTTGAACCAATTGGGACATATGTTTAATTTGTCATTGCATGAATAATTGGAGTTATATTTCTATTCAATTACTTCTTTTGCTTAATGTTTTTTTATGTGAGATACTCTTTTAATCTGATCTTGGATGCATAGGAAATACCGACCATTAGTTTATGCGTTGGAACTAGATCAATTGTTCTACTTACGCTGGTTGAATAGGGATATCAGACCTCGAGTAGTGGCATTTGAATTAATGTTCTATTACATCACCTAATTTCAATTACGCTGGTTGAATAGAGATAGAAGACCCAAAGTAGGAATTAATGAGCTATACACTGAGGGATTGGGTATAGTGGTTGTGTTAATTCGTCATGAAAATATAATGACTTTCTAATTCATGTAATGCATTAGTCATCAATAGGGGAGAAATAAGAGATTATATACAAAACCTGATTGCTTTCGCATTATTTCAGAACCACTTTTAATTTTCGCATTCAAACTCAAACTCCCTATTCGTTACTTCCTATATTTCCACAAAAAATATTTTGTTAAATAGCAGTCCCTGTGGATTTAATATCATTTTACTACTGTGACATTATCGGTACACTTGCCGAAAAGTCATCAGCCCATCACAAGGGTAACGTCTGTCAGCCACCCATAACACATACTAGTCATCCCTATGACGTTCGTCCCACAAAACTCAGTCTGAGGACCATGACAATCTACCCGTCAGCGCCTTAAAGGCCATGATGAACTGGTCATCATGAGGGTGACACTTATCATCCTGAACCAGAAGGCAAAAACTACATTTTTGCCATGAAGTTCAATTCAGAACACTGATTTTCTCTTCCCAACCCTCAAATCAATCAGCAACATTAGGGAAAATAATATCTAACATGTAAACATCATCTATCTACCGATTCACATGCATTTTCTTCAATTAATCATGGTCTCTATATGGTTTATTCATCAAAATCACGACACACATAAACACCAACTCATACCATCTTCACTAACGAGAACATATAATTTTCATGATAAATCAGTACACGAAATTCACATAATACACAAACATTTTATGCTATCACAAAAATCATTTCATATTCATTAATCATTCATCAAAAAGGAAAAATTTAGGAAAAACCTAATGGGATTAAGAACTTCCCTCTACCCAATCATGCAGTCCACACCATATTTGGAGTAATTCCCCTACCTTAGATTAGGGGTGAGCAAGGGACGGGTCGGGGTGGGTTATGACTAACCCTGTCCTAAATTTTGATCGGGTTATTTTAATGACCCTAACCCGTCCGTACTTAAACCCGTAAAAATCTCGATAATATGTCATCACTTTTTTCCCCCTAAAACATAGTAAGAAGATGTAAAATAAAAAACATGATGTAAGAGAAGAGATGTGTACTTAGTATTTACTTAGTGCATATATTAAATTATGAGTTGAAAAGTGGAAAAATCTATTGAAAATTTGGAATAATCTAAATATACCAATAAATTAAATAAATAAATAAATAGTATCACATGTCCATTCATAATATTAGGACGGGTTGGGTAACCCGAGGGTCAACCCGAACCCATCCCACCTATATTGGGTTGGGACGGGTCTTCGGGTTGGGTTGGGTTCTGCTCACCCCTACCTTAGATTGCTTGAAAATTTCAGAATCGAATCAAGGTTCTTCTCTTCTTTTCAAACCCTAGCCTTACCTTGTCTCTTTCCTCCAAATTCTGTTTTCACGTACTGTTTTTCTCTTAAACTCTACCAATTATTATTTATCCTTAACCTAATTATTTAATCTCTTAAAAATTGCACTAAGACCCAACTTATGTTACAACTTTCACCACTCCCCTCAAACTCTCTAATTTCCTGTTTTTCCACTCAAAAATCTTATTTTCTATTTTAATTTAATTATTAATCAAAATAACTATAATTTTAATTATTTTTAATTATTCTAATCCATCTACCACCCTACTAAGGCTCTCATTACACTCCACCAATGCCAACATGCACATACAACTTACCATACATATTTAATTTAAAAGCACACCAAATACTAATTAATTAAATAAAATATTAATAATTTGATTGAATAAATTAACCAAATTTTGGGGTGTTACATCACATCCTTATATGACACCATATGCTGAGGGAAAACCACCTAGGCCAAATCATCAGGAGATATTACAGAGGGAGCAAGTTAGAGAATATCATGTCGTTGATGTGTTACTTGCATGTCGTCGTATTATGGATCTTGCGCAAAATGGTATAAATAAAGGAGACTTTTTAAAAGGCATTTCTAGAAGGGCCATTATAGATTCTATTCTTACTGAAAGATAGATGACATTGCAGTATATGAGACAAGGATCTGATGTATGCAGTAGTAATATAGCGTTTTGTATTAGAGATTGTGGATAGTATTATTCTTTATTACTTTGTTATTTTCTAAATATTATGGATTATGGATTTATTCATTTATATATGTTATTCGGAAAGTATTCTGGATTCTAGATTTTAATGGTATTATTGTTTGTTACTTTATTATTTTGACAATATTATTAAATAACTGTATGGTTTAATTTATAAAAAGCTTATTATGATAATATAGTTATAATATATTATCTATTTCGTAGGTGTATTTCTAAAACAAAAAATAAAATCAAAATTTACTATCTAAAAGGTGAATACATAAGTTCATATATGTATTTTACTATAAAAATGCATCTCTCAACAAAATTATGTAAAAATGAGAATGTCTCAATTAAGAATATATTAGATGTATATAAGATGAATATGAAAGTGCATCTTTGAACTAATTTCTAATAAAAAAGGAGGGGTGAATTCACACATATATTTATAATTTCTAATTAAAAAAGAGGAGTGACTTATTCACACATATATTTGATATAAATGGATGCGTCTAAAAATATACTTTCAAATTCATAAGGATATTTTAAGATTTCTATAAATTGCTTTTCCACTTGATAGAAATAACCCCTTAAAAAAATCTAACTAAACCAAAGTATGATGCAGACTAAGTTATAGGTAAATGTCTTATTCACACTCTACCAAGGAGTAACTAACATTAATGAGTTAGGCCAAATACATGTCTTTAAAATCAAAAAAAAAATTCTAACAATTTATTTCTTTTAATCTATAAACATTGGCTTAAAACTCTTTTTATATTGATAAAGGCACATAATTCTCTTAAAGTATGATAAGAAATTAAAGTTGTTAAAACACATTTTTCTTCGTAAAGTCCAAACATAGTCCCAAGCCACATAATATAAAATATTTATTAAAACAAAATTTGTTTAAAAATAGTCTATTAAGAGTTGAGAATATGACAAAGAAAGAAACAAATCCCATAAAGCTAGCATCCAATATTGTACTCACCACATACAAACATATGTGATGTATCTTTCAATATAACCCTAAACCACATAAACACACACAGCCAAATAACTGCCAGATTCTGAATTCTGAAACCATGTTTGCCACAAACAACACAACATAAGTAACTTAGTAAAAACAACAATACCATACATTGGATCCCTCCATGGAGACACAAATCCACTTCAACAACAACACATGTAAGAACATTTAGAACAATTCAACCAAATCTCACACAAAATATGAATCAACATTATTAATTATAAGGGTCCCACCCATTATTGAAATCCAACCTCAAATCAACCATCTGCAAAATCAAATGCAAGTTAGTGTCTTGTATGTGTTTGTGTTAATGCTTCAATGAGAATAGAGTTTTATGAGAAACTATTTAATTTAGTTACCTCTTTGGTTAGTGGAACTGAAAGTTGTGAAATCATGAGATGATGTTGGAATGGAAATTGAAAGCTGAGTGGTGGATGATTTATCATCCAAATCAAGCCACGAGTTTCTGCTGCTTTTCGGTGGCCATTCATCGAAAAAACGATGAAAAATCTTTTGAGGTTCTTCTTTCCCATCTTTCATGAATGTTTCTTCATTACCTGAGATGTAACAACTTTGATCTTGATGTGCTTGTTTTGAGTTGTTGTTGTTGTTGTTGTCAGTGAGGCTTTGAAGTTGCAAATAAGAGTACTCATTCTGATCATTGGATAAACCAGAGCAACTCCTCTGTTTTGAAGTGGAAGATGAGCTTATAGTAAGTGGTGTGAGCTGCCATTGATCATCCATAGATGAAGCTGATAAACTTCTTATAGTTCCAGATGGTTCAGTGAAGAAAGCATGCTCATCTACCTCTTCTCTCAGTCCATAAACATACCTGTTCCTTCAAAAATAACCAGAAAAGAATCTCTCACAACACAAACACTTTAAACTACATATATAAAAAGTACTTTTGTCATAAACTGCTAATTAAGTGCTTATACAAACCTGCAATCAGTGTTGTTGTTATTGTGAGAGGAAGAACCAGAACTATCAAGAAACATAGGAGCACTAGTGTTGATGTCTTGAAATGAGAAACTAGGCCTTGAAGATGGAGGGTTATTGTTGTAGAGGAAAGAGTGTTGAAGATGAGAAGAACCATAAGAAGAGTTCTGTTGAGGATAATGGTAAGTAGTACTATCATGATGAGAGGTTGGGGTGAGTGCTGCAGTGTTACTATCAGTATCAAGACTAGTGCTATTTTTAGTCATTGATAAGATTGATGAAGTAGCAACAGCAACAGCAGAAACAGAATCTGTGTTTGTTGTTTTCAAAACTTCCACAGGCTTTCTTGAACGGTTTTTACCTCTATGCATGTGTCTCTCACAGTACTTTGAATCTGGATATGCTTCTTTTGAACACCTCCATTTCTTTCCATCTGTTCTTCTACACCTCCCTGGCTCTGGGTCTATTTTTCTTCCTAACCCCATTGGCAAATAGTTCCACCCAACTGCATGCACACAAAACCCATTTTTGTGTCAAAGTCAACCAAAACTATTCATACACATAGTGATATCATAGATTCATAGGATAGTACTACTTACAGTGTTGAGACTGGTGAGGTGAGAGCCTTGTTGAGTCTAAGTAGCTTCTTTTGATAGTGAAGAGAAGATCAGGTGGAATGTTGATACCTGATGCCATGTATTTGTAGATAAGAGCTTGATGTTCAAGCTCTTGCCATTGAGAAGGAGTAAAAGGATACCTGTTTCTTCCATTCATCATAAGGAAAAAGGTAGAAAAGGAATCAAAGAAACAAAGCTAGTTCTTGCAGAAAAAAGAGTAGGAGTAAAAAGTATTATTGAGAGGAGGAGGAGTTAGAGTGATGAAACTTGAGAGAAGAGTAGTAGTAGAGTAGGTATATTTATTTGAGGGGCCATTGTGTTGTTGCAGAATCTTGTGTACATGTATATGATAATATATGAACTAATGGTTCTGATTACAGTGCTGCATGCTAATGCTATTTTTCTCTTTCTATTTTTTTCTCTGAGCTCTTATTATGACTGCACCTCCTCTGTAGCTGCTGCTTCTGCATCTCTGGCATCTCTTGTCTCTGACATATTTACGGAAATCCATAAAATAAAAGAGAGAGATAGAGAGAGAGTGAGAGAGAGAGAGAGAGAAAAAGTAAAGTTGGTAAAGACAAAAGAGGAAATAGTTATTATTAGTATTATTGTAATATGAAAACTAAATAAAGAGAGTTGGTAATGCCTCTGTCTCAGAAAGATTGTACGGTTGAAGCTTTTACTGCTACTAACTCATTTTACTTTTTCTGTTCCTTTACTTCACCCAGCCTCAGAACTCTGCCTCAGGACACACCCCACTTACAAAATTTGACCTTTTTCTCATTCTGAGATTTGGAAAATGAGAGATGCAGTGCAGGTATCAAAAAATATCCTAAATTTTTCTCTTCTGTAAATATTTTTTTATTATAAAGTTACAGATTCAGGAATATTATTTTAACTAAAGTTATTTTTTAATATCCTTTTAATAAGTTAGTGCTCTATGACAATTATTCAATGACATGGTAATAGAACTTGTGTTTATCCTTGAGATTGAAGATCATTCTTTTAACAGAAACATTGTAAATACCAAACTATAGCTAGATCTGTACAGACATACATGATAGTATGATAAATTACATGTTTAAGTATACAATCTGGCAGAAAGTTTGATGATTTAGATATCACAATTAACAATCTACGTAACACTGACACATCGGAAAAAAGACGTATCTGTGTTCGTGTCGGTGTCGGACACCTGCACCAACACGTATAATTACGTTTAATTAATTTATTTTTTAAAATTATTATCTATATTGCTGTTTCATTATTTCAATGTCAGAATCGTGTTTCGGAGGTTAGAACTTATAGTTCTATACTAATATAAATTAATTAATCAACATGAAATTGCAGAAAGCATGTGCCAAGTAAGAACCATAGCGACCAAATGTTATTTTCTTAGCAATAGAATAATAATAACAGTGTAAGAAAAAGCTGGTCAATGTTGTTAGAGTAGGCAAACGAATGAATAGGGACTAAGTTAAAAACCAATTCAATTCAAGCAGAGTCTACAGGGGCAAATGAGTAAATGAGAGTATAGACTGGCAGGACTATTTATGCTGTTTGGTTGCATTGAAACCTTTGTGCTATTATTGCATAGTATGTTTGGCAGTAGAGTTACTGTACACTCTTAAGTAGCACAATTTTCATTGCCTAGAAGATCCATTTACCAAATCATATATTTACTTTGTACTTGGACAACACCTTACTTCATCTGACCATAAATATGTGTATCTGTGTTTTATTTTTTCATGCATGAGCATATATCATTAAATTTTACATTATATCATATTCTTAATTTAATTTAACATCCATATTTTTGTTTTAGCTTTGTGAGATTTAAGACAATGCACTAAAATTAATTTACATTGACTATAGATTACATAACTGTTTTTAATTAAAAAGTATTCAATATGATTGATATATGTTAAAGGGCTGTGGTTAAATATCAATGTAAATAACTTTACATGACAATGCATAATCTATAACTTTTTATTGTTTGTAAAAACTATATGCTACTGTTGTGTGTGATGAAACCACTCAGTCTAGATTTGTAAGTCAGATGTACAAATAAAACAATTTAATCAATTTTAATAATTACTTTATTAATTAGAGTCTCTAATTATTTATATTTTAACACTCCCCCTCAAGGCAGATTATATATGTCATATGAGTCGAATCTGTTACAATTGTAATAAATTCGATAGATTTTGAACGATTTAGTACAAATATTGATCAATTAATCTTTAAATTTGACAAAATATATGGTGATTGTTGTTTGTTAATTCCTAAACATATCATTTATACTATATATTTGTGCAATATACAGTTCAAAGAATTAGTTATATTATAAACATATGCAGAGTTCGATGAAATAGTTATACTATACACTCACGCAGATATATAGTTCAGTGAAGGAGTTATTATACACCAATGTAGGTATATAGTTATGTAAGTTAGTTTGTAATTAAGTCTGTTGACATGCCGCAAGTATACATCAATACCGCAACAGTAAAAAGGTTGTCGAACCACAAAGACCAAGTATCTGAGTATCGAATTCTACCTTATTGTTATGTAGCTAAAGTGATTTAAATTGAGTTTGAGTTTAAACAAGTAAAATTTTAACGGATAAAAATTATGATAAAAAACAGGACATAGGGTACATGGTTTTTGTCAAAGCAAACTCTTGCAAACCTCTAATTATATTACGACAAACAAACCAATGGTATAGAAAATAGAGAAAATTGGATCGCACCTTGTCGCATCGCTGCGAAGAGGGGCCGACAATGACAGAAGAGTCGTCACCGTTCGTTATTTATCACAAAGAGAGGGAAAGGAAACGATCAGAGAAAACCTACGAAAAGGGAATAAGACAGGTCATCGCAACCAAATCTCAGGGTTCGGGAGTCGGTTATGCAAGAGGAAGGTATTCAAAGTGTCACAATGATGAAAAATGGTTTGTGTAGTGATTTGGCTTGAAATGTGCATAAAAGTCAAACTATGGTGTGTGGACAGTTGACTTTTTGATCCGTGGTTTTTTTGATGAAACTAACTATTAGAATAGTTTCAAATGATGATTTCAAGGGTGTGTGTATGGTCTTTATGGTGGTTTCATGGCTAGAAATGATGCTGGTATGAAAAGTGCAAAGAGGCAATTTTTGGTGTTTTTGTGAATTTCTTCACTTTCAAGCAAAGGGAGAAAGAATGAGAGTTGTGCGTCACTTGTTTTTTGGATGGCTCTGGTGTCTAAAAGAGTGGAAGGAAGTATCTATTTATAGGCCATGAAAGGTGTTAGGGCAGATTTGGATTTTTGCCTTTGGAGGGAAATTTTGGAAGAAAAATTCATTCAAGATCATGTGGCAGTTGTGCATATCAGTTCCTTGGCTAAATGCAGGGAAAAACTCAAGTGGAATGAAAGACATGGAGGTGACTGAAGTGAGGCTAGTGTGTAGGGGACTGCAGCTGCAAGTTTTCCTTCAACAGTTTCTCTTTCCTCCTTGTTTTCTTTTTATATAATAATGGCAACTTGCTTGCCAACTTGCAAAGCCTTCAAACTCTCATTATTTATGCATTTTCTAACCATCATCCTATCTAAATATCAGATTAAGACATGATCCAATGGTTGAGAATGATCCAAGTGGCTGAAAAGTGAATTTGTGAAAAAGTGGAAATGGTGCACTCAAGTGTTGAATCCCCAACTTGCTGGATTCATAACTCTCAACTCATAAGGGCTATGGAGGAGTTCTAGTACTTTTTAGAAAGCCCTCATGGAGGTCTACAACTTTCATGTTTTCATGATCTTCAGATTCCAAGTGAAACTAGGTCAAAAATCCCTTTAAAGTTGGCTGAAAACATGATTTGCAAGGCCATAAAACTTAGAAATTCTCTAAATGTTTTCCCCTCTTGTAATGATTTTGATCATAACTCCCAATCTACTCATTTTTTGCACACGGACCCCTGTGAGACTTTTTTAGGAATTGTTAAGATCTTTCGAAAAAGCTTTGAACCACCTCAATTGGATGTGTGGTTGAAGAGTTATGGTCTTTCCCCTTTCGAAACCCTAATTTCTCGATTTCTCGATTACTCCCCAATCCTTGATCCAATGGTCATGAAGCTTAATGGATAAGTTCAATATGCCATTAGGAACATTTTTTTCTTCACACATTGAGGTCAAATTCCTTATGGTTGAAGAGTTGACTTTTTCACTGCATAGTTGATTTTTTTCCCAAATCTCCCGATTTTCAATTGACTGATCAATTGAAGCTCTTATGATTAAAATTGATGGTCAATATCTCATCCCCAAACACCTTAGGATATATGGAAGACCATGGAAACAAGTCTTGCTCCCGAAAACAAACTTATCCTGATTAAAAGTAAAATCCTAATTTCACCCCTTTTGCCTAGGCAATGTGTAGATGAGTTGAGTGACCATTCCCACTCCCCAACGACCTATGGGGTACTCAAAAAGCCTCTACCAATGATGAATCTTCATGGACCCCTTGACAACCTTCTGATGGTTCCTTGATAATGTTGCGACACACATCTCCTTTCTAGGAGCTCTGATATCTCTATGATGATAACACATACATAACAACCTCTACCAATGCCTCTGCTTGAGCTTGTGGTCAATAAGGCTCTCTTCTTGGATAGGACACAAACAAACACTTGATCCTCTGTAAGAACTATGCTATGCAAATGCAAGATGCTAAAATGCAATGAAACATAAGCCAAAGATTAAGAAAAGAGGTTGGTCAAATTTTGGGGTACAATAGTTGCCCCTATTCAATCGACTTGGACCTGAATGGATGAAAAGCAACTGCTTTCAGACATTCAAGGTAGAAGGTGATTGAATACAAAAGAACCCGAAAATTTGCAGTCTGATCAGGATAGTAAACAATTGGAACCCAATCGTACGTCGTCGGAAAGAACACTGTATCCAAAGATCACATCGTCTAATGATAGACAGGAAGCAAACCAAAATCACATCGTCTAATGGTAGACGGGAAGAATAATATCCAAAATCACATCGTCTAATGGTAGACAGGAAGAATATCCGAAATCACATCGTCTAATGGTACACAGAAAGAATAATATCCAAAATCACATCGTCTAATGGTAGACAGGAAGAATATCCGAAATCACATCATCTAATGGTAGACAGGA